ATATATCAAATCTTCAACAAATTCATCGTTAGATTTTATGACTTCCAACAAGATTCAGACGAAAATCAAGAATACCACCAAGGACATCGCGGTCGTGACGGACAATATCAATACCACCACAAAAGGTGGTAAGAAGGTTGCAACTTTGTCAAATGGGTCAAACACCTCTGCAATTTCAATGATGTGGAGTATGGTCAAATCATCCATTCCTGTCAAAAGACAGCATGATGCGATGAGTGTCGATTTTGCTAAATCAGTCAAAGTAATAACTTAAATTCGTACCACATTCACCTCGCTGAGGGCAAGGAAGAAGGTTCCTACAACCTCAATGGTTGCTCCAGTCACAAGTTTAAGTTCAAGGTTGGTCCACCAAAGGCCAAAGATTTTTTTGACTCCGTCACAATGCCAATTATGATGACGAGTACTAAGTACGAAGAGCAATTGACGAGAATGGGCCGTGCAATTGAAAGATTACAAGACACTCTTAAGGAGTAAGATTTGAAAATTGCCACACTGACATAAAAGTTAAAATTGCGTGACGACAATGCTGAGTTAAGCAAAGGACGAATTCCTTATTCTAATTCCATGCCAGAGACCACTCCAATTGACGATAAAAATGACGTGTCCGCTAATCCAATAATTGAAGCTACCTTCGTCACTTCATTTTCTATCTAACAACTTCAAGACATGATAGTGAATTGCATAAGAGAACAATATAGTGACGTTCTTCAAAGTGCTTGCATGTACTCAAAGCTTTACACAGAAAGAATTGATATTTTAAAAATGCTGGTTGGGTATCAACCTCTAAAGCTTCAAAAGTTTGACAGAAAAGGCAATCCCAAACAACATGTCGCACACTCTGTAGAAACTTACGGCAATGCTGGTACAAACGGAGATCTCCTTGTTAAGCAATTCGTTCATTCCCTCAAAGGGAATGCATTTAATTGGTACACAGGCCTCAAAGCTAGAGGTATTGACAGCTAGGAGCAGGTGGAACAAGAATTTCTCAACCGTTTCTATAGCACTCGTCGTACTGTAAGCATGCTGGAGCTTGTAAACACAAAACAGATGAAGGGTGAACCTATAGTTAACTACATCAACCGTTGGCGAGTTCTAAGTTTTGACTGTAAGGATAGTTTGTCTGAAATTTCTACAGTTGAAACATGTATGCAAGGCATGTGCTGAGAGCTTCTTTACATCCTACAAGGGATTAAACTTCGCACATTTGAAGAGCTTGTTACTTGAGCCCAGGATATGGAGCTTAGCATGGAAAATCATGGTGCTAAAGAAAATATTTCTGATATATCCGACAACCTTCAAGAAGATAAGGGAAGTGAGTCCGGAGAAGAAGGCAATATACTTCCTAACTCGGATGAGTAAATAACTTCATCTTTCATTATAAGCATTATCTCAAAAAACTTGCATCAAGGAATGCACAATGCTACAACAACGACTTCAACCGAAAGTGCTAAATCACAGGGGGCAATAAGTCAAGGAAACCAAGAAGAAAATCATCAAAGTGACGACAAGATAGTCAGTGCCCTTCAGCATAAATTTGGATTGTCGTCCGATTCTTGAAAAGTAGAAGAATAATTAAAGTTGAAGTGTTCCCCAATACGAGCATAAACTATCGATAACACTCTTTGATACGAGTATAAACTGTTTATCTCGAGAAAAAAAATCAAGAACTCCTTGAAACAAGTATAAGCTGTCTACCTGGAAAAAAAAATCAAGATCTCTTTGATACGAGTTTAAACTGTCTCAAAAAAGAGAAAAAAAAAAAAAAAAAAATGACACTCATTGACACGAGTTTAAACTATCTACCTGAAAAAAAATCAAGAACTCCTTGACATGAGTATAAACTATCTACCTGAAAAAAAAAAATAATCAAGAGCTCCTTGATACGAGTTTAAACTGTCTCCCAAAAAAAAATAAAAAATGACACTCCTCTTTGTAGTTTGCAAATACTAAGTCACACAATACTCTTCAACGTCAATTCCTAAGTCACACAATACTCTTCAACGGATGTCGCTCTCATGCCCGCGCGCGCTTTCGCTCTTATTGCCACTATTTGTGATTTAATTTTGCCGTTTTCGTGCTCTCGCTCCTGGTCCCGCTTTATGTGACTTAGGTCAATTCTCTCCTTCAAGCCCATCCTAACTTCAGAGTGGTTTGGACTCCAAAGTGTTTCAATAGACCAGCCCATCTTCTGAGCAAATGGGCCTAATCCTCTTCTTCTGCATATTTGCATTGGAATGTATGACCCTCTTGGCTTCTGAAAGCCTTGGAGGACGATTTTGTGTTTTTCAAGTTTCTTTTTGGTTTTGTCAAGTTTGTTGGGATTTTTATTTATTTTATTTATTTTTTTTAAAGTACATTTTTGGATCCAATAGTTCAGAAGTTGAGTTTATTATTATCCATGAATTTTTTTTCCCTTGGAAATCTAAAGTATGTTGAAAAATAATGAGAATTAAAGTTATGTTTATTGGTAATTAATAGGAGTGGAATTCTGATTCTACTCCCAAAATCTACCTTAATGAGTGCTTTTTTTGGCAGAAACAATTAGAGTACGCCCGGGGTGTGTGTGTTTCATGTGTACGTCGTGATGATTCTTTGGCAGAACCTAACAAGTGGAAAGTTAGAGGAAGATGTCCCTTGTTTAAAAAATTAGTTTTTTTTTTTTATTTTTTATTTTAAAGTAGCTTTAAGACCTTGTCAACTGTGGGAGACTTTGATTAGTGCCTTTGTGAAACACAATTGCCCCTCTTCAGCTTAGTAAGTAATGATTAAAATCAATCACATTTATATATATATATATATTCAACTGTTCGATACTAGTCTTTCGGATTTTTTTTCTTTTAAGTCCTATAATTAATTTTGCATAACTTTTTACATAAGCCAATTTTTAATAATCATATTTGTAGATACTTTGTGTTAGTCAACCACAGTCCATATTAGGGTTAAGAGTAAGCATGTGAACAAATTATAAATGTGTGAATAATAATAATAATAATTTTTTTTATTTATAAATATTTTACCCTTGACTACCCACTATGCTGGTGGGTCTCACTATAGAGCAATGTCGTGGGACCCACTAATGCTGTGAGTAATAGCAATATAAGATTGTCTATTAAAACTCTTATGTTGTGTTCTGTAGGAAGAAAGAGGTGTGGAAAGAAAATAAAAAGTAAGGAACACATTTTCTTTGTTCGGTGGGGATGATACAAGGAAAGAAAAAAAATAAAAAGGATGACCTATCCTTCCTTCCTCATTTATAAATTTTCATAATAAGACAAATGGACTGTTGTAAAACTTTTAAATTAAATACTATTATAAATTATACAAGTTTTAAATTAGAAAATACTATCCTCTATAAATTACAATATTATAAATATTATTGAATATAATAGTAAAAATAATTAACGAACATAGAGGAAATTTTAACTTTCTTATTTTCTCTTCTATTCAACCAAAAATGAGGAAATATACAATCTTTTCTGAATGTCTCATCCATCCCTTCTTCTCTCTCTTCCATCTAATTTTTTTCATCCCTATTGAACAGAGAATGAAAATTAGCTAGCTAAAATTTGCATTATCCTTACCAAATCCTCCTTCCGACGATTAGAGTAGGCACATTCAATGTTTTCCAATAATGGGGACACAGCCATTTCTATAATTGCCTATCCCATTGGCAAAAAAAGATTCGTCCATGCTTTACATATCAAAGAAGAAAAGTGCTGTTAAAGATTACAAGAAATGACTCTCCTTGAATATATCTATATGTATATATGTATTATCTATACAAACATATTATGTACTGTATATTATTTAGAGTTTAGTGATGATTTTCCACTGAATGCTAGTGGAACACTAAAGAGAGCTTTCTTTAATAAAGCAGGTAATTAAGACATTTATCACCAATGGTCATTTGCTCAATTATACCCTTGGTCCGCGGTGGGTGCCAGGTCATATGTATGCCACCTAATAAAAACTGTACTATATTAATTTATTGAGAATAATTTATCATATTAAATTGTTAAAAGTACTTTTTATAGGAAAAATGATAGTTAAGCCTATTTCTCATGTCTAATAATATAACATAATTAATTGTTACTATGAGATATCTTAAAAGTGGGTTCTACTATAGACCTACTTTAATATAAGTAATTCAAATGATCGAGCGTGATTACTCACAAACAAAATTATTATTATTATGTAAATATGTCTATAAGTGAACCAATTTCATAATATGGTAATTTTTACTAGATGAGCGCAAGTCAATGAACTTACTTTAATATTACTTATAACCTCTCTTCCCTAGAGAAGGAGAATATATGCACCAGGCACATCACAACCGCCTGTGCCTATGCGTGCTTTACACGTCTATATATGTACAACATGGATGGCTGTGATGTGCACTGGGCACACTGAATACCTGCTCCAAGATAAGGAGTCAATTGTGCCGACTAAATTATTCAAAGTTTGGGTTCGTGCACTGGAGTTGGCTTTTTACTAGATGAACGCATACCAATGACGTAGAGCTCACTTTAGTATTACTCATAACCTCTCCTCCCTTAAGAGAAGGAGAATAGATATGATGTGTCCGGTATACGGTGCATCAGCATATTGTAGCCATCTGTACCTGTGTATGTTTTTCATGTGCCCGCGTTTATACAATACGAACAATTATGATGTACCCGATCTCCGGACACACCGAATACCTGCTTCAAGAGAAGGTGAGTGGTCGCTGAAAACCTTATCAATTGTGCTGACTAAATTCAACACGCATCCAAAGTTTGGGTTGGTGTTTTAATTATTTCATAATGAATTCCATTGACGGACACCAATTGACTCAACAGGGCCAAGAATATATTGAAGTTGTCCACATCTTTACACTGGTGATCATTTTGATATTCTTCTATATAAACACCTTCTCTCATATGCTTGACTATCATATAGTATATAGTTTCAAAGAAGTAGAATTATATATGACATAGATAATGGGTTGTTCCCCAATATTATTGTGTCGCTTCACCTTATTCACTCAGTACTTGCTCTTCCTACTGATCACTGCATTTGATTACTTCATGGTTACTAACTCTGTCTCTTCTTTGCAGCCACGATGCCACGAAGACGAGAGTTCTTCTCTGATGCAATTCAAGCAAGGCCTTTCAAAAAGAAAGTTTGCTTCTAGCCATCCTTCTGCCTATTCAAAGGTTGCGTTGTGGAATCGCGACGTAGAAGGCAGTGACTGCTGCTCCTGGGATGGTGTCACATGCGACGAGGACACTGGCCATGTGATCGGGCTTGACCTCAGTAGCAGCCATCTCTATGGTTCTTTCGACTCGAATAGCAGCCTCTTCCACCTTGTTCACCTTCACAGCCTCAACCTGGCTGACAATAACTTCAATAAGTCACTTCTCCCCTATGAGTTTGGGGGCCTTACAAAATTGTCTTATCTTAACCTCTCATCATCTGCCTTCGTCGGCCACATACCATTCCAAATTTCAAATTTAACCAAATTAGTTTCCCTCGACCTTTCGTCGAACTACTTTGAGGGTCAGATACCTTCTTTAGCAAACCTAAAGCAACTTCAGATTTTGAACTTGTATTACAATGAATTAACTGCTCAAATCCCAAACTGGCTTATGACACTGACTCTATTAAAAGAGTTACACCTTTCCTATAATTACATGCATGGTCCAATACCAGAATCAATATCTCAACTTGTGAATCTAGAATATCTCTCTCTTTACTCAAACAACCTGAATGGAACAGTGAAATTAAACGCGTTTCTTACCATGAAAAATCTTACCAGCCTTCTGTTGTCAGATAACCGACTGACATTTCTCACCGGTAGTCCTATCAATGCTTCATTTCCGAAATTCAAGTACCTAGAATTGGCCTCGTGCAACTTAATTGACTTCCCTGATTTCTTAAAAGAACAAAATGAGTTGCAGTCACTAATCCTAAGAAACAACAGCATCCATGGCCCCATACCTAAATGGATATGGGATATGAGTAAAGAAACTCTGTTGGTTATGGATATTTCTCAAAACTTTCTAACCTTCGACGACCACCAACCTCCTTTAGTCCTTCCATGGAGAAAACTACGCAGTCTAGACTTTAGTTCCAACATGCTGCAAGGTTCACTTCCAATCCCACCATTGTCCATCTTAAGCTACAGAGTCTCGGACAACAAACTGTCTGGATCGATTCCACCATTCTTCTGCAATCTGATCTCTCCTTATGCGGTGGATTTATCTTACAACAATCTGAGTGGTGTCATTCCCCAATGCTTGGGCAGCTTTAGTGATTCCCTGTCGGTTCTGAATCTCGGAAACAACAACTTACATGGCCCAATTCCTCAAATATGCAAGAATGGAAGCAAACTGGTGATGATCAATTTTGGTCAAAACAAATTACAAGGGTCGGTGCCAAGATCGTTGCCCAACTGCACATTTCTAGAGAGTCTTGACCTCGGAAACAATCAGATCAACGACACTTTCCCCTTTTGGTTGGGAACACTTTCAAACTTGAAGGTTCTGATTCTGCACTCCAATAAATTCCATGGTGCAATACCGAACCCGTACTCCAATGTTGCCTTCCCCAGCTTGCACATCATTGACTTGTCTCACAATTGTTTCACTGGTAAGCTGCCTTCAAATTACTTCCGGAGTTGGAAAGCCATGAAGACTGTAGATGATCATAATCAATCGACGTACATGGGGACAGCAAAAGATCTGGATACACTTGGAGAGAGTTTGTCTATGTTTTACTTTTACTCGATGACGCTGACAAACAAAGGTGTGGAAACAGCATATATGGATATCCAAAGTATCTTCGTTGCCATTGATCTCTCGAGCAACCAGTTTGAGGGAGAGATTTCGGAATCTATGGGGATTCTAAGGGGGCTTCGAATGCTCAACCTGTCTAACAACAATCTCATTGGTGAGATCCCATCTTCCTTTGGGAATCTAACAGAGCTCGAATCATTGGACCTTTCTCAAAACAAACTCTCCGGAGTAATACCTCAGAAGCTCACACAGCTCACGTTCCTTGAATTCCTCAATGTCTCTCACAATCGTCTAAGAGGGCCAATTCCACAAGGGAAGCAATTCGATACCTTTCCAAACAGTTCATATGAGGGGAATCCGGGATTGTGTGGAGACCCTTTGTCGAAGAAATGTGGCAATTTAGAAGCACCACCACCTCCTTCAACATTCAAGCAAGATGATGATCCTTCATGGTTTCCGATTGATAAAGCTAACTGGATTGTCATGTCCATGGGCTATGGAGGTGGGTTAATAGTTGGGTTGATTATTGGGCACACTCTGACCACAAGGTATCATGAATGGTTTGTCAGCACCTTCGAATGGAACCAAAAGAAGCAAAGAAGGAAGAGTAAGAGGGGGCAAAGAAGCTAAATTTGATGACCTCATATTCGTTCACGGCTTTGTATGTGTTGTGTTGTGTTTCTTCTTCACTTGTTTGCATTTGTAGCACATGCTATGCTACCCTTGTACTACTTTAGTATAAAATTTGCAACTTAAAAAAATAATAATAATAAAAAATAAAAATAAAAATTCATGTTAGTTATGTCCAATTTTAATCTATGGATAATGCATGTGACATTTTGGCATGAATTCTTAAATGGTTGGCTTGTGAGTTGTGATTGTTATTGGAAGTTGTTTTGTTTTATTTTGTTTTGCTGTGTAAAGAGCAAATGTATTACGAAGAAAACCACGGCCTATGGAAGAAGCATCAATGGGACAGGCCTAATACGAAAGAAAAGTGTATACAATTTAGGACTCAAAAGGATGAACAGACTAACCTTAAAAGAGGAAATACTATTGTGGCGACTTTGTGGGCGGGTGTGTGTGAGCGTGTGCAGAGGGCATCAGTAAGCTACCACACTGGGCGAGTTATAAGTGCACAATCCCACATCGTCTGGGTGTGGATGGGGCAAGTGCTATATGTAGATTTAACACCCTTCTATGACACAACGCGTTTTAAAGCCGTGATGGCCGTGAACCTATCAGAACTCTGTAGTTAAGCCTGCTTAACTTGGAGTAGTATCAGGATGGGTGACCCCTGAGAAGTCTCTGGTCTGGGTGAGCCAAAAGCAGATAATAGTGTGTCTGACCAGGGTGAGGGTCGTTACAAATGGTATCAGAGCCTGACCCAGCCGGAAGTGTGGCCAACGAGGACGTTGGGCCCCAAAGGGGGGGTGATTGTGGCGACCTTGTGGGCGGGTGTATGTGAGCGTGTGCAGGGGGCACCAGTAGGCTACCACACTGGGCGAGCTATAGGTGCACAATCCCACATCGTCTGGGTGTGGATGGGGCAAGTGCTATATGTAGATTCAACATCCTTTTATGACACAACGCGTTTTAAAGCCGTGATGGCCGTGAACCTATCAGAACTCTGTAGTTAAGCGTGCTTAACTTGGAGTAGTACCAGGATGGGTGACCCTTGGGAAGTCTCTAGTCTGGGTGAGCCAAAAGCGGACAATATTGTGTCTGGCCAGGGTGAGGGTCGTTACAAATATACCACTCAATCAAGGGTTGTATTTAATACCATTTCCTCTAATTTTCTATTTATAAGAGTATCTCTCATTGTTGTGTATATATTTTTTTGTGTAAATTTAATGTGTCATAATAGATTTATACAAAAAATTTAGATTATTTATTTTTAAATCTAGTTGTGTAAAATATACAATAATTTTACACATTGATAACGTGGTAATATATCTTAACAAACTACTAGGGATAAAAAAAAATTTATACATTATATGTATCCGTGTATATTTTATTCAAAATAATATTTTAAGAGACTGGCAGAGATGCTCAAAGATTAAGGATTTGAGTTTTCATAATTATGTTACTGTGTGTACTCATTAGCCCAACACCAATTAATTAATTTTAATTTAATGCTCAATTGCTTTTTTAATGAGCAATGATAAACTTTACAACAACGGACTAGTCGAATATTTGAGTGGATCCCCATCACAGTAGCTGGGCACTTATTACCTCTATAGTTGGATGTAATAAAATTTTGAATTTTTCTTTTTTGTTTTTCAATTACGTATTATACTAGCTTGTTGTTAGACATTAATGTATCTATAAATTTTTTTTTTAAATAATAAGTGCACTCTTTTTCTACTTGTATGTCCACTAAAACCAATAATATTTATGGACTAGTCATGTTCGTTTGGTCCAAATGTTTGGCAAGAGGAGACATGTACGGTTTTGAGCAATTTCACAAACAAGCAAAAGAAAAGGAAAACAAAAGAAAACAAGAAGGGGAGATAAAAAGGGGGAAAAGTAATTCTCTTGCACCTATATTTTTGTAAACAGAGTTCTCTTATAACTATATATACATATAGAAGAGTGCTAATTGTAATCACACAAGTGACTGTTTATTCATAATCGCAGTTAGGATTGGTTAGTTTTAAATGCATTAATTACTTTGAGTTTTTATTTTTATGGGACTCTATTAACATTATTTGTTAGACAAAAATATCATTTTAAATTATGTTTTTCTTCTTATCTCCTTTTTTAATCGATTCATATGGGGTAATGTGCGTATGTATGTATGTATGTATATATAATAATAATAATAACTAATGTGATGTGAATGGAGGCTGAAAAAGGAAAAAAAAAAAGTTAGAGAGGATAATCTATCCACAAGAAATGGATTATGAGGAAAATAAATAAATAACTAAATAAATAAAATGAAGAGAGATAGAAAAAAATCCAAAAAAAAAAGAAAGAAAAAAGAACAATATAGATTCTGAGATTTAAAAAAGATATATACAAAATTAGTTTTATATATGTATATATTTCTTTTTTGGTGAATCAATTATCTACTTTTCTTTTATTTCATTTTTTTCTTAAAATCCATTTATACAAGGATAGTTGTAAAAATAAAAAATAAAAACAAAAAGAAACATATATATATATATATAGGAAAAAAAACAAAAAAAAAAAAAAGGACGAAATATATAATCGATTTTTTTTTTTTTTTACCTTTCTTTTTATTCTTTTTGGATTTTTTTCTCACTCATTTTTTTTTTTTTTTTCTTCCTTTTATTTTTTTCCGAATCTATCCATATCTTGTGAATGAATTATCCTATCTATATTTTTTTTTTTCTTTTTCAGAATATATTCACATACATAACACATCCTCGATTAAAAGAGGAAAGAAGAAGAGAATAAGAAAGAATATTTTATAATTTAAAAGGGTATTTTATCTAAAAAATAATGTTAGTAGAGTCACATAAAAATAAAAACTCAAAGTAATTAATGCATTTAAAACTAACCAATCCTAACTGTGACTGTGTCCGTCCTAACTGTGACTGTGAACGGACAGTCGCTTGCGCAACTACAATTAACACTATATATATATATATATATGATGGTTCTTTAATTAAAATTAGAATAAAACAAGGCTTATAGGCATCTCTTGATATTACGAGTGTGACCTCACTGGCAGCAATCGGAGCATTGGCCTATTTAGGTTGTTTGGTTGCAATGTCAAGAACACAGAGGAGAGGCTTTGAAAGTCAGTGTAATGTTACTTAATGTACAAAGAATAATTACAGGGGAAAAAAAACTCTGTTCTTTCATTGACCTCCAATTTTATTTCCCTGATCTGGTCCCTCCCTTCCGTTATCTTCTTGAAAGGAAATTGAAGAAGGCATACAAAACTTTTACTCGATGAATCCTAGAAGTAGAATACTTGTTAAAAAGTCATGGGGACAGAACATTTTTCTCTATGTTCATTCGCTTGTGCCAGCACATGCAGTCATCTTTGGAACAGAACTTTTATTTACATAGAAGAAACAATGTTTTGGATCACTTCGCTCTCAAGACCTTTTTTTTCCCACAAATATTGTTGTTTTTGGATCACTTCACTCGCAGGACCTAAATTTTTTTTTTTTTTTTTTGGTATTAATACCACAAATCTGGAGAAATAAAAAGTTGACATGTGGCGATTTGCAGGAGAATTGGCCACACCAAATTACTATTCCAACAACTCAAAAAGAATGTTACCCTATAGGCAGTTCCACCTAATCACCCAAGTCTGAAGCATGAAACCATTCAGATGCTGACACGTGACATTAAAGATTGAATCAAAGGCAAAAGGGATTCGATGAGATACAAGTCCACTGATGAGCACTGAAAAGTGCGCATTTAAACCCGTTAAGCTTAAGCATTCTAGTACCTTTATCTATCTTACTTTGCCGTTTTAGACTTATTATGTGTTATTTATATTTTCAGGCACTAATCCCAAAATTGAGCCAACTCAGCCAAATAAGAGCTTAATTGAAGCAATCCTGAGATAAACCAAAGGAGGGAGCAAAGTGGAGAAAGAAAGGAGCAAAAAGGAGCAAAAAGGAATCAAAGTTGTGCAGCTGAAAAGTTCGATCGATCCAACTTAGAGTTCGATCGATCGAACATTTATGATCGATCACGGTACTTCTCGATAGATCCAACCTTGGCCTTTGCTGAAATTCCAAGTTCGATCGATCCAACATCACCTTCGATCGATCGAACCCTATTTTGTCCTATTCAAATGATTGATCTTATCCACAGTTGTACGCCTACCAACCACTTTTGTCCTTTTCCCCATAAATATTTTCGAAATATCTCAGCCTTGTCCTTATTCGGGGGAGTCAGACCACTTCGATCGATCTAAGATGCAGTTCGATCGATCGAACCCATCTTCGATCGATCCAAGTTAAGGTTCGATCGATCGAACTTCCTCCAGCGAGAAAAAGTTAAAGTCCAGCTCATTTATTCCGTCCTTCACCCAATCATTGGAGAATATGCCTTGCACGACCACAGCTCATCATAGGGTGTATTTGACCTACCTATATAAGGAATATGATACACTTTTTGGAGGGGAGTCTAGAGTCTCTTGTCATACATTGAAAATCATCTTGGAGGCTATTCTTGGAGAGGAGGAAGGAGGGAAACTAGAGCACCATTGGAAGAGATCTTCACCAACAAGGAGCAGCCACGGAGTTAGCCCTTGAGGGTTGGATCATCACTACCATGAGTGTCTAGACATCCTCTTGGGGCTAGAGTTAGCCCCAAGCATGCTTTCTATACTCTAATCTTGTGTATTATTGAGGGATTAGTGTTGTATGATACATCTTGATATTCATGTATATATAAATCTTGATTATTTCATTGTTTGTATGGTTTAATGCTTCCAATTGACTATTCTATTCTACCCATATGTCTATGTATGCTAGAGTAGGATATTCATGTGCTTATCTCTAGATTTAGTGTTTTTTATGCATGTCTATGTGTATTGATGCTATAGATCTAGAGATTATCAAGATGATATGCTTAATGAATGCTATTTTGGTTCATTTGATGGTTTATACCTATTCTTGATGGCTTGTGCCTCTCCC